ATAGCAGTCGTCATTTACTCCCGACATCTGAGCCGCTGAAGACGCAGTGGATTATTTGCTTCTACATAAATGTGTCTATGTTCGCGCGAATCATTCGTGATCCAGCCTCATCTACAGAAGAACTGAGTATAATGTTTTGTAATGAATCTTTGCAAATGCCTTTCCTAATAATGTGCTAATTAGCAAGTTTCACGATGAATGCGGCTAAAGTAAACAGTCTCTCTGAGAGCGGCTCGGAAGAGAGGGGCGGGGTCAGCAGAGCTCATTAACATTTAAAGGAAAATGCTACAAAAACGGCTTGATCTGAAACGAGCTGTTTTTGACGGTAAAAAGTGTTTTTTACACTACCATTGAGACATTTTAACCAAACTATGTTACAGACTTTTCATTAAGACCCCAAAGAATCATATCAACTTGTGGAAAATGGACATCCTATGACCCCTTTAATATTAATTGTATGTATTAATAAATAATTGAACAGAAAGTGAATTGCATAATGGTACTTTGACTAATTATTGTAATTGCATTAGATACATTTTTTAAGATGCACTTAAATTTTTTGATATTTTAAATTCATTCAAATTCATTCAATTGTTTCTTAAAACATTTTTTTTTAATTTTAATATTTATGAAAGATACAGAGGGATCAATTTCAAGAGTGTCCGTCTACTAGGTTTTCAGGGGAATATAATAATAGCTTTATTATTATTAATAGTATTATGACATACGGTATTTGAGTCCCAAACAGAAATCAAATAAATCTCAGCAGAAGATGAGAGAGTTGAAAGTGAGTCCGTCTCTAGATAATATTTTGAAAATAAGGACTTTTATCATCGCTGGCTCTGTAGCTGAAGCGTTGAGTTTTTCCTCCGGCTTCACACCGCGGAATCTCTCAGGTGTTTTGATGAAGTCGTGGAGGCTGTTAGCCACCAGCACCGCTGACGGTTTTGGTACTGTCTTAATCCTGCTTTTATTCACTCAAACTCACTGTCAGCTCCTCTAGTGTAAAGGTAAGGCTGAAGTCTCCGTGTTTATGAGCTGGACACTGATCCTGAAACTCTGTTCGGCGGTTATTGAGCAGTTCTGTGTAGTGACGCTTCACTCCATTAGCATTAGCCTGTTAGCTCAGCTTATGTCGTGTTTTATTATTACACCGTGAAGGTAATACTATGTTTCTGTTTTAGCGAATTTCTCATAGATAATTGATGCATAAGTAACACTTTGAGGTGTTGTTGCTTGGTGAAACATGCAATGTTTACATAGTTATTGTCTCTGGCTGTGTCTCCAAACCTACTGACAGCCTAACGTTACCTTGACAGCATTTTGGGCATCATATATAATTCAAGCCACATTTCTGTAGGCTCTGGTTTGGTGTCAAAGGAAAAAGCTGATGTGAGCTGGATTTTGAGTGTAAACGGAAGTTTATTCTGTCAGTAATGAATAGAGTCTTTTTGACTTGTTTCATTGTGTTTTAAAGGGGTCATATGATGCGATTTCAAGTTTTCCTTTCTCTTTGGAGTGTTACAAGCTGATTGTGCATAGATAAGATCCTTGAAGTTGCAAAGACTCAAGTCTCAAAACCAAAGAGATATTCTTTATCAAAGTTAAAACTCTGCCACGCCCCCCTAAAACGACTCGTTCTAACACGCCCCCACATATCTACATCACTATGTGGAAATATTTGCGTAATGCCGCCCAAATGTTCACGCAAAGAAAGAAGGCGTGGTTTCAGTAACCGCAGTTAGTGTTGAAGCAGCCATGTCAGGGAGACGCTGTGTGTTTCTAGGCGAACGCAAAAGCACTTTATTTGGCCTTCCGAAAGTAGATGCATTTAGGAATCTTTAAGATTACTTACAACAGAACAGCAATGCATTTTATGGACGACCGTTTCGTGAACCTAGGAGAGGAGGTAATTCTGACTTTGCTATGACAATCTAGCGCTTCTGAATCAGCTCCTGTTTTGTTATTAGTTTAAGTTTTTGCTATTGACTGTTCAAATGCGGAGTTTTGAGCATTGTGTGTGTGTGTGTGTGTGTGTGTGTGTGTGAGCGCGTACACGAGAGAGAGAGACAGGGTCACGTCACAGTGGAGTCAGCTGTCTTAACCGTGGCTTGTGTACTGCAAACACATACCAGCTTCATCACTGTGTCTGTCACGCGACTCTGTTCCCCTTTCGGGCTCTGTCTTTACATTTATTTTGAAAGCTGACACTCGCGATTATGGTAAGGGGCGTTACATTTCCGATGAGTGCTTGCGGTGTTCGGCCAATCACAATGCACTGGGTCAGCTGGCCAATCAGAGCAGGCCGCGCTTGTCAAAGGAGGGACTTTGTAGAAAACGAAGCGTTTGAGAGAGGCGGGGCATAGAGGACCTACAAAATTGTACAGTATTTGAAAAACAATGTGTTTTTTGAACATTAAAGCATGTCAACATATTCTGTTACACCAAATACACAAAATAATGATCTTTAAAAAAGCATCATATGACCCCTTTAACCTGACAGGCGCTCATTCATTAAATAAGTTAAATGTCTCACACCCGTCCTTATTACGACACTGTGAGATTTGTGTCTAACAATCACAGAAATTAATAATAATAATCCCAATAATAAAAAAAGTCGGAATAACGATCATATTAATAATTATATCAATAAAATGACAAACATTCGTAGTAGTTCAGTCTCTTATGATGCCCTGATGTTTATTATTTAAGGGTTTAATTTCAGTCTAACTAATTTGTTAATAAATATGGTGAAACTATACCTTAGTAGTAATCTCTACTAATAGTCAGTGTTATTTTAGTATAATTGATATACTGTTATAGTTTTGTACTTGTTGTTAATGATTACTTATTTGTGTACTTATTACATCTTATGTCCTGAAGCTTAACCCTAAATGTAATTTTAGTTTTAATTATTGATGTATTTAGAGAGTTTTATTTTATTATTTATTTTTTATTTTAAGTTTTATTATTAGTATCGTTATTTTACAGTTTTATTAGTTTAATTTTTTTGTTATTGTACATTTTAAAGTGTTTTATAAATTTCACTTTTTTTTTTGGTTTAACATCATGGTAAATGGTTGTTAATGTAGGGGTGTGTAAGTATAATATTAGTAGTAATAGATGTTGATTTATCATTTATTATGCAGAAGTTGGTAAGAAAAGAATCTGTTTTTGATTTGTTAACTTAGTTTTTGTGTTACTATTTTATTTGCTTTGTGTTTTCTGCTCAGAATCCAGCCAACTAAATCCAGAGTCCACTGAAAGTAACCATTACAAGAGACTGTTTCATATCTGCAGCTGACAGAACAGTGGTTTTCTTATTTCTCGTCTCCTTCAAACTCTTTTGAGATGCTGTCAGCATGAATACTTGGTTTATTTTGAGCCTGGGACACTTGGACCCTGCTGAGAATTCGCAGTGACAGATTTTCAGATGTATTTAGGTCTATTTTTGTCGTTTTATTTCAGCAGTTTAGTAGACTGTATAAAGAAATGTATCAAGTTTAAAATCGGTTGCTATCTTTGAGTTGTTCTCCGAGTGAACATTTAGTGTTATTTTCCCAGAGTAAAGCCTGTTAAGACTTCTGCTCGGCTGTCAATCAAGCTGACCTCTGGACAGTTCAGAGGTTTGTAAAAAGATCAACACAGATCTCTGTTTTGATGGACTGATATTTCATTTTTAAAGAGACTGTTCACCCCAAATAATTTATTTATTTATTCACTTGTTACAAAGCACTATGCGTTTCTTTCTTCTGTAGAACACAAAAATTGATATTATTGAAAAATGTTTCAGTTTGGTTTGTGCATAGAATAAAATTCAGTTGGCTCCAATATGTGCATCACTTTTTGTACAGACATTTTTTTGTGATTTGAACAAACTGTTACATAAATCATCCAGTGTTATTTTAGTATTATTTACATATTATTATAGCTTTTATTAATATTTTCAATTAGCTGTTATTGTTATACTTCATTTTAATTTAAAACATGTGTAGTGATTTATTATACTATTTAATTCTTTTTTTTTTTTTTCTTCTTCCATTATTAGGCTAGTTTATTTATTTCCCATTAGTAGCTGTAGTGCTTCAACCTAAACTAAGTGAAAAGTGTAAAAATTGTATTTTATTTATTTCAGGGTTTTTTTCAGTTAACACAAAGGTTTTAAGAGTATTATTAGTTTCTAGTATTGTATCCAGTATCCAGTTTGCTGTCTTTGACCAACAAGAAGCATGACAACATGATTAAATATAACTCATATATATATATATATATATATATATAACTCATGTACTGTTTGTACTTCCTGTTGCAGGTTGACAGCCAGTGAAATCATGGAGTCCATGCTCAATAAACTAAAGAGCACCGTTACCAAGGTGACGGCTGACATGACCAGTGCTGTCATGGGCAACCCTGTCACACGGGAGTTTGAGGTGGGCCGACATATCGCCAGCGGGGGTCCAGGAATGAGCTGGAGGATCTACAACGGCACCAAAAAATCCACCAAACAGGTGTGTGGGTTATATATTGGCGCTTTTCCACTGCATGGTACGGCACGGTACGACTCGGTACGGTTCACTTTTGGGGGGTTTTCCACTGGGTACAGTACCTGGTACCTGGTACTTTTTTTTTGTATCACCTCGGTTTAAGTTCTAAGTGAACCGTACCGTTACCAAAACGTGACGTGTAAACTCTGCTGATCACGGCTTGGCCGCTGAGAATCGTCACTACCTGCGTCACTGAACTTGCGACACAAACACAAAAGAACCACTAGATTTAAATCAGCACAGCCAGCGAAGGACCGAACGCAACTGTTTTGAACAAGCGCACCTTTTTTAACAACCAAAAAGTGGCTGTTTCGTTGTCTGTTGTGGAAGAACAGACGTTCCTCTCATTGATAGCAGAGGAGTGGATCCAGCGAGAGCTTGATGGGGCGACGCGGAATGAAAACGTTTTTTAGGAGTCGTGGCAGTAGAGGCGGCGCAACTATAACGACATGTGAATAATCCCGCCCACTCTAAAGCGGTACTGAACTACAGTGGAAATGCAAACCGTGCCGAGTCGTACCACACAGTGGAAAATCGCCATATTATAGTCACTTCTGTCAGTATTTTTCATTTGTATCACACATAATATGACATGATCATGTTTGATGTTGGTAAGTTGTTTACAGTGAAAGAGGAAGTCTTTAGTTTCAACCTAGAAAATGCACAACACAGATTTATTGAATGATGCAATTGTCATGACTTTACACAATCTTGAGTTTGTTGATCACATACATGTGTTTTTGTGCTTTTCAGTTTATTCTGTTTATGTCACCCAGATAAAATAATTTGGTAACACTTTACTTGAAGGGGTGTGCATAAGACTGACATGGCACCTTCATAATCATGACATGACACATGTCATGAATATGAAGGAGGTTTTATGCATGTTTATGACAACTGTCATTAAGTGTCATTCGCTCAGTTATGTCATTTTTAATGCAAAGATGACATTGTTTGAGATGTATTTGTTATGGGCTATGGTTAGGGGTAAGGGTAGGGGTAGGGTTAGGTTAGGGGTAGGTCAAATAATGTCATATTTGCATTAAAAATGACATAACTGAGCGAATGACACTTAATGACAGTTTTCATAAACATGCATAAAACCTTCATATTCATGACGTGTGTCATGTCATGATTATGAAGGTGTCATGTCATGATTATGCACACCCCTTCAAGTAAAGTGTAACCAATAATTTAGATGGCTAATACAGATGTGGTTTGAAATTGCAAATGATTGGAAGCATCACTTAGAATGGGTTGAATTAGGCCTGTTAATAAACACATGTGTGTTTAATCAAGTTAAATGTACAGATATTACAAATTAAATATTATTTTAATATCTTGGAATATCTGTTGAATGTACAGATATCATTGCAAAATAAATATATATGTAAATATTTATTCATTAATCTTTTTGTTGATTTTGTAGATGTACTGATTTTTTTTTACATTACATAAAAATCAAATATTTGTATAATATTTTTTTGAATGTACAGAAGTACCGATATTATTGCAAAATAAATATGAATGTAAATCTTTCTCTATATATTATTTGTTGAATTTGCAGATGTACAGATAGTTTTGCAAATGTAGTGTAATGTACTTTTTTGTTGTTGAATGTACAGATAAGCAGATATTGTTTCAAAATAAATATAAATCCAAATATTTGTAAATAAATTGTGGCATGTATAGACATTTATATTTTTGCTAAACACAATATTTTTGATATATATAACTAATATATTTGTTGAATGTACAGATAGTACTGCAGATGAAATATACATTTAAATATGTTGTTATAAATTATTTGTTGAGTTAATAAATTAATGGATTTCATTTAGGTTTTTGTTTTATTTATTTATGATTTCCTTTTTTGCTCAGCCATTGAAATTTTACTCTGCTACAAATTTGCATTCTACTTCCCGCAGGAAGTGGCAGTCTTCGTGTTCGATAAGAAGATCATTGATCGCTATCAGAAGTTTGAGAAGGATCAGATCATTGATTCGCTGAAGAAAGGAGTTCAACAGCTGACCCGGTTACGACATCCGCGTCTCCTCACAGTTCAGCACCCACTGGAGGAGTCCAGGTGACCACAATGCCAACACGCATTGACACATGCTACGACACAAACTGTGTTTTAAAACCTAGTGAGCTGTCAACATGGCCAGCATTTTGAACAAAGAACAAACAGTTGAACAAAGCCTCGTTGAAGTGTTACCTCGTTGAAAATGCACTTCATTTCTTATCCACTTTGATTTAGTTTCGCTGTGATTCATGACTCTGAAGCTTCAGAAGCAAAGAATCCACTCTCGATAAAAGAGTTCAGAGCTTTTTCTGTATTTTATGCTACTACAATCAATATGTGTCTGTGTGGATGCATGAGATCAAAAGCAGCAGTTCGTCTGTGGAAAATCTCTCCGGATTAATACATGGATCTCTTAGATGTCGTCAGACTTAAGCTTCGTTCCAGAATCTAGTCTTGCAGTCTACATGTTATCCTAACTAAACACGAAGCGATAAGATTCTGTGACAAGCAATTTGTCTGTTCACACCCAGACGTAGCGAAGCTACAAGACACAACAAAACCGATTACAAATCACAGCCAATCAGAAGAGCATGTGAGCGGACTGTCTCACACTTGCAATGAAATAGATAAGTACATGATCAAATGAATAAAATTAAACCATTTTACATTTTTTTAAAAATACAAAATCAGTGACTGATTGAATCCTTGTCATGGAACTTGTTCTCATCATGACAAAACGCATATCGTTGGAAAGGCTACGTATTTAGTGTTATTTTGTGGTGGAAGCAATACTGTGACAGAAATGTACACATTTGTGCCATGAAAATGCATAAAAAAAAATTCAATGGAGTTTGGGTGTCACCCGGTGGCTATTTTTAGTATAGCGCCTAAACAAAATCTCACAGGAACCTTGATTTTTGTGATGTCAACTTCAAATTTGGAATATAACTTAGTTAGACATATGGTTTTGATTTTATAGCAGTGTATTGCTTTATTGCAATGGAAGTCATACACAGTGATATAAGAACTTCAACTATTTTAATATTATATAAAACACAATCAGTACCTTTGCTGTCAGTCACAACATAGCAGAAAAAACAAATTAAGCCTATATATTATATACTATAATGGACGTTAATGTAGTTCTCGCTATAGGTATCACTATATTATCATTCTTGGAGTGAACAGGCCTTAACTGTCATGGAACCTTAGAAGTGACTAATTTGACACTTTATTGATCATACATACGCAATACACCAATTGCGTTCCTTTAGTGAATTTGGTGCTAAAACAACAAAGTGGGTGCCAGTAAACAATGTTGCAATTCATTGTTGGTCAGTTCCTGCCTCACAGTTCATTCCATTAGTCTGAAATTAGCATGTTGCTGTGCTGACAGCTCAATGCTTTAATGAGCACAATTTTTTTTTGTACGGCATACAATATTTTTACCTTAACCTCTGTGCTCCATCCACCATCTTGCACGACAAATTTCAGTGTAGTGCATTCTGGGATTGCTTTAATTAGTGAGTATGCATGTGTTGCTGCTTTAGATTATGGTCAAAATTAAGTATCTTATTTGCATTAAAGGGATAGTTCACCCAAAAATGAAAATTCTGTCATTTACTCACCCTCAAGTAGTTTCAAACCTGTATGAATGTCTTTGTTCTGCAGGACACAAAGGAAGATATTCTGAAGAATGTGGGAAACAGTGCAGTTCTGGGGCACCATTGACTTCCATAGTATTTTTTTTATCCTACTATGGAAGTCAATGGTGCCCCAAAACAGCCTGGTTACAAACTTTCTTCAAAATATCTCGCTTTCTGTTCGGCAGAACAAAGAAATTTATACGGGTTTGGAACTACTTGAGGGTGAGTAAATGATGACAGAATTTTCATTTTTGGGTGAACTGTCCCTTTAATGACCGTACACATGCCTGTGATGGAATAAAAAAAAAAAATTCTACTTTAAAATTTTAGCTATAAAAATACTGGAAATATACAGAAAACGGCTATGTGTATTTGCAGTGTTGCTCAGAAATGACTCCAAGGTTGCAAACACAATCCTACTTTCCGTGCTTTTATCTATCTGTCATTGCTGTTCTTACTGGATGTCTTTGTCTCTTGATCTCTAGAGACTGTCTGGCGTTCTGCACCGAGCCCGTGTTCGCCAGTCTAGCGAATGTGCTCGGCCAGTGGGACAACATCCCTAGTCCTGTTCCCACAGACATCAAAGAATACAAACTCTATGACGTTGAGACCAAATACGGCTTACTGCAGGTGAGACGTTTCTTATACATCTAAAAAAAGAGGTACTTTTCTTCTATTGAAGTGATGCGTCACCCCAAAGTGACAAAGAAAAGATGATAAACTACTGCTAGCACACATTTTTACTCAATATTTGTATATACTACAATTTAACAAATATCTTTTATTTTTGATTTTATTTCTTATGCAATTTTATCATTAAAATGTTGCTGCTTCTTTAAAAGAGAGAACTTTTTTTCTTTATTTACAGTCAACATGATCTTGTATAGGACCAAAAATAATTGCATAAATTATTCCAAGATAACGAATCCGAATGTTTAACATGATGTTTTATTGTAATACAATACATTTTTTTAAAACAATAAAATAGTTGTTGGTCTAAATAAATAAATATTAAGTAAATATTATTTTTCAAAAGAATATTTTAAAGGCAGTGCAACAACATCTACTATTTAGTTTTAGTTTTATAGCTAATGAAATATCGTTCTCTTTGACTCTCTCTGTTTTATCTCTCAGGTCTCGGAGGGTTTGTCGTTCCTTCACAGTGGGGTTAAAATGGTTCATGGAAACTTGTGTTCAGAGAACATCATCTTGAATAAGAGCGGAGCCTGGAAGATCATGGGCTTTGACTTCAGTATCTCCTCCAGTAACCCGTCTGACGCTGAGGTTAGAAACAGGCATTATTGTCTCTAAAGCCCCAGAGAACAGACACAATGCAGTCTGAACACTCTCAGCTATCTCTGTTCCAAACTTAAGCGAGCTGTCTTGTTGTCTTCTGTCTCGTAACATTGATGTTATGTATTTCTGTCTTTTAGCCCAAGTATGTTTGTAAAGAGTGGGACCCCAATCTCCCACCTCTCTGCCTCCCGAACCCAGAATATGTCGCTCCGGAGTACATCCTGTCCGTCAGCTGCGACGCAACCTCTGACATGTACTCACTGGGCGTCTTGATCCACGCCGTGTTCAATGAAGGCAAGCCCGTCTTTCAGGTTAACAAGCAGGACATATTCAAGAGCTTCAGCCGACAACTGGACCAGGTGAGTCCAAACAACGCATTTCATACATTGAGTAGTTTTATAATGTCAGTGAGGCAATTCCTTCCACACAACTGTGGAATTACCTTCCTATTTTAAGGCAGATTAACTTCCCATTTTGTCCCAAAACAGTGTTTCATAGACTAGTGCTAAGGTAGTAATGCAGTAGCCAAGCCTCAAAATACCAGCAGTGCCACAACATTTGATGATATATAATATTAAAAATTAATAGTATTAATAATTAATCAAATAAGAATAAATGTTCCTCATTCTTGTGTGTAGCTGAGCCATCTAAGTCCAGGAGTATTGAATCAGATCCCTGAGGAGGTCAGGGATCATGTGAAGATGTTGCTCAACGTCACCTCCAACGTGCGTCCAGACGCAGATCAGATGACAAAGGTCAAACCTTTCTCCCTTTTAAAAAAAAAAAAGAAAAATCTTTCATTGTAGTATCTGTACTGAATAAGAATTACCATACATGATGTTAACATGAGTGGGTAAGACTGTGATTGAGAGTGACATTGACATTTCAGTGTATATATGTGCTCAGATTCCCTTCTTCGATGATGTTGGAGCGATGACCCTTCAGTACTTTGACTCGCTTTTCCAGCGGGACAACTTACAGAAGTCTCAGTTCTACAGAGGTCTCCCAAAAGTTCTGCCCAAGTTGCCCAAGGCAAGAACAAATATTTGCACAAAGTAATTCAGCATGGAAATGGAAAATGGAACATATAATGCGATTTTCAGTGCATTTAACAAGTGAAACTAGCAATAATGTATTTGATTGGCTTTTATTATATACCTACCTAATTTTTTTATAGACCTTATGCAGCAGAGAAACAAGCAACAAACTTGTTTGTTTTTTGTATATTTCTATTTCTAAGCTAATTATCTGCTGTTTTTTCTCTCCTCAGAGAGTGATAGTATATAGAATCCTCCCGGCACTCACGTCTGAGTTTGTGAACCCCGACATGGTTCCGTTTGTCCTTCCAAATGTGCTGCTCATTGCTGAGGAGTGCACAAAGGAGGAGTACGTCCGCCTCGTTCTCCCAGACCTCACCCCAGTTTTCAAACAGCAGGAGCCAGTACAGGTACACAGACATATACTACTGATCCATCCCCCATCCCACTCAGTGTGTTCTGTAGCAGTAAAATCAATCTATGTAATATCGCAAAGTCATGTATAAAAGTGTTGCAACCTCATGAAGCCCTTCCGTCGTCCCCTCCACATACTAGCTCATATACTCTAGGACAGGGCTGGGCAACGTGGGTCCTGGAGGGCCACTGTCCTGCAGAGTTCAGCTCCAGCCCTAATCAAACACACCTGAACCAGCTAATCAATGTCTTCTAGATCACTAGAAAGCTACTGGCAGGTGTGTTTGATTAGGGTTGTAGCTAAACTCTGCAGGACAGTGGCCCTCCAGGACCTACATTGCCCAGCCCTGCTCTATAGGACTAAGCTGCCACTTAACCTTTCTGGCCCTGTTCTAAATGGCGCACTTGATGTGAACTTGCAATGGCTGCCGCATGCCTGTGTAAACCAAAAGGTTCAAATTGGTTATTACTTTCTCTCTTTCATGCTATCAGGCCAGCAACATGGTGAGTGAGGTTTGAACGTTTGTCTTTGTGGTAGTTTATTTCATCATAATATTTAAGTTTATATTTTTATTTCTAGTATTTTGGCTGCACTTGTTTGTTTCCTCTGATATTTTAATGTGGTTTTCATGAGTATGTTTGGTTGTTGTTTTGTTTAGCTTTGTTTTATTTTTTCTTGTTTTGAGTTGTTTTGTTTATTTTTCCTTTTGTTTAGCATTGTTTTTGTTTTGTTTAGCTTTGTTTTATTTTTTATCTTGTTTCTAGTTTTTTTCCCCTTTTGTTTAGCATTGTTTTTGTTTTGTTTAACTTTGTTTTATTTTTTTCTTGTTTCGAGTTTTTATTTATTTTTTCCTTTTGTGTAGCATTGTTTTTGTTTAGCTTTCTCTGTTTTTCTAGTGATTCATATTCATTGGTTGGCGTTTAGGAATCAAATTATTTCCTTGATTCTCTTTCATATATCGCATCATAATATTTAAGTTTATATTTTTATTTCTAGTATTTTGGCTGCACTTGTTTGTTTCCTCTGATATTTTAATGTGGTTTTCATGAGTATGTTTGGTTGTTGTTTTGTTTAGCTTTGTTTTATTTTTTATCTTGTTTCTAGTTTTTTCCCCTTTTGTTTAGCATTGTTTTTGTTTTGTTTAACTTTGTTTTATTTTTTTCTTGTTTCGAGTTTTTATTTATTTTTTCCTTTTGTTTAGCATTGTTTTTGTTTAGCTTTCTCTGTTTTTCTAGTGATTCATACTCATTGGTTGGCGTTTAGGAATCAAATTATTTCCTTGATTCTCTTTCATATATCCAGATCCTGCTGATATTTCTACAAAAGATGGACCTACTTTTGACCAAAACGCCTCCTGAAGACATCAAGAACAGTGTTCTGCCCATGGTGTACAGAGCAGTGGAGGCCCCCTCTACTCAAATACAGGTGACCACAAAGTACCATTTAATTGTCCGGTTGATGTGTTTTGAGTCATCAGTGTTTTTTGACACCCATTTTAGTCATTTCAAAATATTAAAGTATAACATCTGGTTTTGTTTTTTTCCTAAACAGGAACTTTGTCTGAATATCATTCCCACGTTTGCCAATCTAATAGAGTACCCGTCTATGAAGAATGCACTTATCCCTCGTATCAAATCTGCCTGTTTACAGACATCCTCACTAGCGGTTTGTGTCCTTATGCCTCTTATGTTTTCTAGTAACATAAGTGAATGTCAATGATCGGTTTGGAAAAGGAGTTCTGAGGTTTGTTTTTATCAAGGAAGATTAATTTCTCCGTTGGCTGTCCTTTTTCAGGTGAGGGTGAACTCTTTGGTGTGCCTAGGCAAGATCCTGGAATACCTGGATAAATGGTTCGTCATTGATGAAATTCTACCATTCCTGCAACAAATTCCATCCAGGGAACCAGCTGTGCTCATGGGCATTCTGGGTGATTCATTTTTCTTTTCACTTGACTCTTTCTTCACATTTTTTCATGGATGACTGAGACTTTCTTACATGAAGTTAAATTAAGTTATATATGCTGTTTTTCAGGCATCTACAAGTGCACTTTCACCCATAAGAAACTGGGCATCCCAAAAGAGCACCTGGCTGGAAAGAGTTTACCACATCTGGTGTCACTTAGTATTGATAACAACCTTAACCTTAACCAGGTGACAACACGCGTTCACTTCAGGGTGTTCTTCCTCATCCACAGAATATAAACTCGATCCAGTGTCACTTCAGTTCAGTTGTATAGATTCTGTTCACACACATTTTTAAACCGTTTTCTGTCTCTGACTCTGTTTCAGTTTAACTCTTTCATGGCTGTGGTCAAGGAAATGTTGAATCGCGTGGAAGCGGAGCATAAGACCAAATTAGAGCAGTTGCACATCATGCAAGAGCAGCAAAGGTGCCATTTTAGTTCATTCTTAAAATGCAGTTTTATTCATAAAAAATATTCTGGTTTTTTATGTTGCATTCACATGACTGCAAAGCGATTCAGACTCGAACCCACAACCTTTGGGCTATGAGTCCGACTCTCTAACCGTTAGGCCACGACTTCCCCACGTGAAGTCGACTTCCCCACTAATATAAAATAATGGCAGGGGAAACACTGCACTGTACACATACAACCTATTAACACAGAGACACGCAGAATTCATATTTAAATATGAATCGGTGTTTAATGAAAGAACAATGTATAGATGAAAGAACAATGAAAGAACAATGTATAGACCTGTTCTATAAGAAAGGTAACTTTTTAAATGACTTCTGTTGTGATCTGGCGCTATAGAGAAAATATAATTAAATAAAATTAACTTGACCTTCAAGGGGGGCGTTGGGGGGGGAGGGCCGCCCCCCTAAAATAATGGCAGGGGAAACACTGCACTGTACACATACAACCTATTGTCACTTTCACATATGGAATTAATTTTTTCAGTGAAATTACCAGATTAAATTTTCCGGTGAAAGGTATTCAAAATATCTCATATTCACACCAGCGTTCACTTTGTGTTATCTGCCATTGTATCTGTACCGGAAGTGTTGAAGCTGCATATAACCTCAGAATGTTAGTCGTCTAAAAATAATAAGTCGATTTTATTTTTATTGAAAATAATTTTACACCGTCAATGTTGCTACTAATTTAATGATTTAAGGATGGTTACACCACTTGTAACTATTAAGTAAAAGTAATAGAATAATTTTCTTAAACAGGTGATATTTAAAAAAATTTTAATTTATATATATATATATATGTATGTAATTAATAACATGCATTTTTCAAGCCTTGTGCTTGAACCATTAATGTTACAATGTTGTTCACTCATTGCATGAATACAATGGGTCCTGTGTACTTGTGACCTCTAAATGGGAAAATGCTATTAAATGTGTGTCAAAGACTGTGTGTGTTTCCAACCAGTGTTAACAGAATCTTTATGGGAAATGAAGAGTCACATTTTGCTGGTTAAAATATTATCTTTTTTTATTGTTTGACTTTATGGTTGCTTGGTTTCTGAAGTAAAAATCAAGCCAGTCTCCCTACACTCTGAAACGGCCGTCTTACGGGTTTGGAACAACACGAGGGTGAGTAATTAATGACAGAATTTTCATTTTTGGGTGAACTAACCCTTTAAATGTACTGTTTTTATATAATCAATATTTTATTTGCTTGCATAATTTTCAGTTCTTTATTGTAAAAATAGTACATAACCTTTTTTTTTCTTCTTTTTTTACATGCATCTTTTATTGATTTTATTGTTCCAAGGCGAAGGATCTGACCAGCAGTCTTTTGAACACCATGACATCTGTGAACAACCTCTCTTTGAACTCTGGGTCCAGGACGATACCCATGCAAGGCGGCACCGTATCCTCTACCTTCCCAGCTGGACCCACTATGGGTGGAATGGGCACTATGGGCGTCAGCAACGGTTTTAACTCGCCCATGGGATTCCAGACGGGAGGTATGGGAATGGGCATGAG